GCCCCCGCCTCTCCAGCCAGGTGACTGTGGAGGAGGAAGACCCCCCTCCTTACCAGGACGCCCTCTACTTTCCCATCCTCATCGTGCACCGCAACGAGGGCTGCCTGAACCACGACCACCGTCACCTCCACCGCAACGGGTCCTGCGTGGAGACCTCACTGTGAAAGCAGAGGGCGGTGAGATCTCATTGTCCGTTGCCTGGCCCGAACCAGCGCAGGATCTGGGGAGAGGAGCGCAGGGGAGGGAGGTGGCCCAGGAGGACATCAGGACAGGGTGAACACGGCATCTTGCTCCAGCAGCCGGCAAAAGCTCTCCCCACTGTGGCTCTGACCTCCTGGAGGGGTGAGTGCTGATGCTCCCCCTGACATGGCGCAGAACTCTAGACCGACCGCCACATGCAAAAAAAAAAACACCCAAGCCAACCAAACTGACCCCAAAACCGAAATTCATGGCATCAAGATCCACAGGGGGGGAACAAAAAGACAGGCCTGATGCAGGGAGGGGGGTCCTTTGGCTCCCGGCCCTGGCTCCAGGCTGGCTCGTGCTCCGAGGAACCAGCAGCCACCAGAAAGCTCCCTGCTGTGCCTCTGCCCACCCCGCGGCCCAGGCTGGAGCGACAGCCCTCGCAGGGTGGAGGGGAACGGCCCCTTTGGGAGCAGCGTGTGCCTAAAGGTCCGGCACATCCACACACGTGGAGCTGAGCGGCAGGTTAGGACAAAGGCTGAAAGCCACGAATCCAGCTCTTCCCCTCCATGACCATTCCCCACCCTCCCCACTTTTTTTTTGACCATGCTTCGACTGTTACTCTGTTCTCACTGCTGGGAATGGCACCGCCTCCAGAGGATTCCAGGCTCAGCTCCTTAGGAAGACTCCGCATGCCAGCTCTGAGAGTCAGCATCTCCTAGGTAAAGGGCTTTTGGTTTGGGATTACAGCAGGCAAGCAGCATTGGGGAAGGATGAGTGTGCAAACCCAGATGGAGCAGAGATCTGCAGCACTACTGGTCTGATTGCTGCTGGAAAGAGGAAACAGGAAGCCTCCAGTGAGCTGGGGAAGAGGGAGAGGATGGCACTGGGACGGGCATCGTGGTAAAGGTGGTGTGTCAGGTGGCTGCAGTCCCTTCCTGTCTTTGAAGTGTGTCCTAGTCGGTTCGGATGAGCAAGGGCTCTGGTAGGTTCAACTGCAGTTTACCTGCTCGTAATAGAGCAGCAGGTTGGTGCATGTCTGCAGGAGTGAATTTTGCACGAGATCAGGCTGGGCTCTGGCTGCAGACACTGAGCTGCAGGCTCCTGGCAGCCTGGTTTTGGCAGAGAGCTCTGCGGGGCTGGGAGGGAGAACTGCAAAAGCATGCTGGAGCATCAGGAACCTGGGCTGGGGAATTGAGGAGGAAAAATTCCCCTCCTGGGAGGCCCCACCGTGGGTGCAGGACCTGCAGATGGGAGGCAGGGAGGCGTCTGCTGTGAGGGATGCTCTGCAGTAGGGGGGCTGGGGTTATGTGCGAGGGGAACCTTCTTAAAGCCAAGCGGTTTGCACTACAGAGGCTTTTTCAGGGAGGTCTCAGGCTGTGAGAAGTGAGGTGGCTTCTGTGTACCCCATTAGCCCCTGGGTTCCTCTGGCTTTGGGGCAGGTTGGCCTGCTCTGAGCTCTGTGCTGCTCCTTCTGTCCTGCTGGAAAGGATCTGGGTGATGTTGGGCAAGGAGCCTTGATGTCGCTGAAGCTGCATCAGTCACTGCAGCAGGCAGGCACACGGCTTTTCCTCCTCCGTCAACACATCCCCAGATCTCTCATGTCCTTGTTCTCAGAAAAGCTGTCTCAGTCAGCTCTTTGGGGGAGTGCGTGCCAAATCAGGCAGCGATTTCTCCAGACAGCACTGCTCCTCAGCCTCACCACGCATCCCTCATCCCCTGGGGCAAACAGCGGTGGAGAACAGCAGGTCTGGGGTGACAAGGGCAAGTCCATTAGCACCTGGACATTTGATCTTGGTGCCTGCCTCTGCATCCATCGCAGAAGGGCAAGATGGACCAGCAAACAGCAAGGCTTCTGTCTTGTAACTTGCCCTTACTGTCACTGCCAGACCTAGGTGGTGGCTTAAATAAGAGGGTCCCTTTCGGACAGGGAAGTGTCAGGTCTCCGGTGTGGGCACATCCTTCTCTGCGTTTTGTGCTCATTACTGGCACAGACTCAGACTGGGTGAAAGTGGCTACAGCCCCCTTGGCTGCCCTCGGATTTTCCTGCATAACGATGACATTTGGCTTGCTGTGCGCTTGTGCTTCTCTCTCGAGGGCCTGATGTAAGCTGAGGCCAGTGCTGAGGGTCCTCGTGACTCTGGGGAGATAATGAATGGTGTGTGCTTGTATGTCCTGGTGAATCAGGAGAGTGGAGCTGCAATGGGTCATTAGTGAGGAATGTTGTCCGCTTGTCCTTCCCAACATGTTCTCTTTGAAATCTCCTACACATTGCTTAAATTAGGCTGCGATGGCTTGTCTTTCTGTCTCCGGCCTCCAAGGTGCCTTGGACAGATGGGTTTATCAAAGGTTTGGCAGGCCTTTTAGCTCCCTGGGGCAAAGACAGTCCTCAAAATGGAGACAGATTAGTAGGGTCTCTGTGCCCCTGTCCTTTAGCACCTGCAGCAGAGTTCTGCTTTCAGGCACCTTGTCCTTGGCTCTGTCTTGGCCTCTTCATGAGATTGTTTTAATTTCTTCCTCTGACCCCATTTCTACCCATGAAATCTTATTCTGGAGGCAGGCTATCCAGGTGGATACACGTGTCTTTGAGGCATGGTGACTAGTCTGGCCTGCAGGATCCACGCAGACTCTTCCTGATGCTGAGCACCTTCCCCATGCACATAGTGCCAGCCACAGTCAGGTCCCAGATATGGTCCCAGTGCCATGTTCTGTGGCCATGACAGAGCCACAGCACCCTGAGGAGAAGTGGGACCTGTCTCACCAGTGCTTACTACTGCACGCCAGGATTTCTCGGGGATCCTTTCCTTATATTCTTGGCCTTTGTACCCCCCTGCACCCAATGGAGCTACCCCCCGGTCCAGCCTACTCCATTCTTGCCAGGCTGGAGACCTTCCTGCCCTGTCTTAGGCTCAGGAAACGGGGATGGCATGCTTGGGCATGGGAGGGGACCAGGACTGGGCAGGGGCGTCAGTAGCTTGGCAGAGAAGTGGTGGAGCTGAAAAGGACAGACTGAAACTGGGGTTGTGCTCCCTCTCCTCCTTCCTGCCTGCAGTGGCAGGGCAGCATGCCTAGCCAGGCAGGGAAGTTCATGGCAGACAACTGGGCTCTCCCTTCCCACCCCCAGCATGGGATGCAGCTAGCAGAAGGGATGTGCACGTATAGGTTTCCTCCTAAGTGTTGGCGAAGGGCCCTAGTGCCCTGGGCAAAGGGCAGATGATTTAATTCTCCTTGCAGCTCTGGTTATCAGCACAGATATCCAGACACAGTCTGTCCCTGTTCTGGCACATGGCCTCTCCATGGTGGAGTGGTCCCATCTCCCCCGGCACACAAACATCCACCCGCCACAGCTCCAGGCTGAGCAGCAGTCGGGTGCCTGCTCTTCCCACAGCCCCGTGTCTGCTCTCTGCCATGTCTCTGTCGGTGACGACGATTCCTTTGGCAGCTCAGTCGATGGCCCAGTCTGCTCTTCTCATGATAGCCTGCTGCCTTATATCCAGCCTGAATTCTCCCTGCTGCATCTTAATCCCATTACATCTCCTCCATCGACTGGTGGGTTTAGTTGGCTCTGCTACTTTTCCCCGTGGCCTTCCCAACACAAGCAGGCGTTATCTGGTCTCTGCAGCCTTCCCTGCACCAACCCCAGTGTTTTCTCTCCCCCAGGACCTTACTGGGCAAACCCTGGCTTGCACGATGTTGCAGAAGTTTTCCCTGCGTAGCGAGTCTGTCCTTCCTGCTCTGAGCCTGGCCTGGGCAGGAGGAGAGGGCCAAAGGTGCAAGCGATGTCTTGGTCTGTCGGGCTGGCTGTGTCGTCGTTTCTGGGGCAGAAATTCTCTTCAAAGTGAGCGAAGTACACAGAGCTGCTGGCCCCTTACGCAAGGAAAGCCTGCATCAGCCTTGATGGTGAAAGCTGAATGCTTGTTGGTATGGAGTGGTAGTAACTAGGGGATCTCCGCAGTCAGATGGTTTTGGTTTTTTCCATACGTCATCCACCCGTTGCAGCTTTCCATGGGCCGAGAGTCAGGCTCAGCATTGCATTTGTCAGCAGGCTCTCCTCGCATACTGGGACGCATGAGATGAGAACGCTGCCAGCTCCTCTCCCTGGTGCTTCGTGGTGTTAACACATCCCTAGAAGAGAGCTAATCCTCACTGCTGCAAGGCTGGATGATAAATTCAGGCTATTTGGCATTTCCCGTTGCTGCCAGTATACTTGCTGGCTATTTACAAGCTCTCCAGCTTTCCTGAACTAGAAAAAGGGAGGGAATGAGCATGAGAGGCTCTGGATCAACTGATCTTCAAGACACATCACCGCCCATCCATTTTTCAGCACACTCTGGAAGGTTCCCTAGAAGGTAGTGCCCAGCTCTTCATTCCTGCAGAACCCGTCAGTGACACCCACCAGTCTGGTGGTACTTCTGGAGCCCACTGCATGTGATGCAGAGCACTCCAAGGAGGGGGGATTTCAGAGAGGGCTTTTGGGTTGAGCAGCTGTAGGGGCATGTGTTAGCACAAGGGGAGGGAATCTCATCTGATGGCTAACACCAAGCCTTCCGGAGTTACACCAGGCAAATAGGATTAGCGCTGAGGAAGCTGCTGTTTTTCTGATTTCAAACAAGCACACCTCCCCTCCCTTTCTGCTTCCTGTGAAAAGCACATGTTGGAAACCCATCCTGTCCCTGACCTCTTTGTTGTCTCCACTCATACTCGAGAGGCTGCAGAGCTGTTTAGTAATTCTGATGGATGCCCATGGAGTGGGGACTGCAGGGAGAGGTTTATTAAGTGGAAGTTTAGGAAAGTTAGGTAGCATCCAGTGCCAGCGAATGACTGCCTGCTGAATAGCCCATGGGAAGAATAACACCTTTTAAGCTCTCCCTCCAGCTTTTCCAAGCATGGCTTCAGTGCTACTGTCTAATATCACCGGAGTGCTGCCTTACTTTTAGCTGGGTACGACCTTGCTGCAACGTGCACCTACGCTGCTGCAGTAGCGGTAGGGCATGGGTCTGAACATCACACCACCGCCCAGAAGTTGTGTTACCAAAGAGCTGGAAGTCCCAGTTTGTGATACGTGCTTCGACTCATGTTTCATTCATATTCGGTAGTTAGAATGACTACTGAGTGAACACGATCTGGATCCCTACCATCTCAGAAATGGGACGTGGTTTAAGCGTTAGCTCTGTTTGGTCACACTGCCTCCTGCCATGTGTGTGAGCTTAGAGTCC